AATTATAAAAATAATAATTTTATTTATAAAATACAACCAAGAAAATATATATAAATAACAATCAAATTCATTAATAAAATGAAATATTGCAAACATTTAGTCATTTTTCTATTTTCAAAATTTATGGATGTTTTCTGTGTAAATAAAATGCTTAATTAAATGATTTTTTGATGATATATGTATGATTTTTTAACTTTAATTTATTATTTTGAATTTATTCTAAACAACTCCATCATTTATTTAGATAAAATTTAAATCTGAAATTAAATAATCATCATAAAAGTTTGATTTTCATTTTTAAGAACACCACCAAAAATTAAGTCTTATGTACTGTACATAGAATTAAGAAGTGTAAATAGATTTTGCTTCAAATTCCTTTTATGCTTTTCATCATAAATAAATACTTTTAAATATAAACAAATGATATGTTCTGAATAGAATAATAGATCTGAACTATTTAAAAATATCACAAAATGCTTATAAACATCTTAAAATCATATGATAAAATTAAATAAAATTAAAAATGAAAACTTATGAAGTCTTGTGGATATTTATATCAATTGAAATTTTTATTTCTGTAAGTTATTTTGTTAAGTCTTTTCATTTAATAATCAATTGAATAATTCAAATTTTTATAAAAATATATGAAATTGAATTTAAAATTTTAGTATCTTGGAATAAATTCAAAACCTTAGGTTTACAAAGTATAAAAATAAAAATCTAATAATGGTCCTTTATGGTTTTCAAATCTATGAATAACAAGTGCTTTTTAAAAGAGAACTTATTATTCATAGAAAATTTAAATATATTAATTCTATAAAATAATTTATTTAAATTAATAACAGGTTGGAAATCTGTTTTGAATTTTTCTTTGGATATTACCAACATTTATTAAAACTATGTCAGGAACAAGAATTTTTATTCTTGATTAAAAAAAAAAAAAAAAGTTGAATTAATGACAATTAGGTAGTCATACATTATGATAAATTTAAAATATATACCATTTATATCATTCTTAGGCATTTATAAGGAAAGCAATAGCTTTGGATCATTGCTTTTCAATAATAATTGATCTCTCTGATTATTTTTTAAATAAGAATAAAAAATTCTTGTTCCTACTTTGCATATAATAATCCTTTTCAAAGAAAACCTCAGTTTAAAAATTCAAAAATATAATAAAGATTATGTATAAAAAAATTTATTGTAAAAGTGAGTCCAAATGAATTTTAAATATGAATCCAGTATACATGCATCTCTCAATAGAATATACTTTAAATGTAAAAAATATGAAATTTAAAGAAGCTGTAAAGGTTATTAAATATTACAATTCAGATTAATTTTTATATGAAATCTGTGGTAATAATAGTAATTTTGATATATCTATGAAACTTTGAAAAAATATTTTTGTAAAGATGTAATAATGGAAATTTTTGAAAAAATAATACAATAAAAATTGGACATAGTGTTTTTTTATTATTGTAAACTTTAAATGCAAAAAAAATAATTTTTTTTATTTGCATTGTGCTAGTATTATGTTTAAGTTCATGTGAATTTAAAGCAGTAAGAATGTGAATTTACCAATAAATAAAATAAAGATAAATTATTATATTTAAATTATGGCAAAAAAAAAATAATCAGATTCCTAATATAATATATATTAATAGTTTATAATAAATATTAAAAATATAATTACTCATTCAGAAATGATGGTCCAAAGCTATATATGAAACTACAAACAAACCATAAACTATCAACACATGAATTATCACTGTATATCATGTTTTGAAAATTTTTTATTATATAATTAATAAAATAACTTTTTCAAATAAAATTTGTAAACTTTATAAACTGTTATTTTTTGTTGAGTTGCAGATAGCAATCATGATTTTATTGTAATTTTTTCTTCATATGGTAACATCAAATTTAGATACAGTACTTGATCAATAGGTTCCATTTAGTCTGATTTGACATTTATAGAATTTTATGTTTCTTTAATGTTTGTTTTTTTTTATGAAGTTTTACAAGCTTTAATTTTGAGTGTATATTATTTAATACTTTTTTAAAATTTATATATTTTTTTTATTTTTCATTCATATTCTTTTTACAATAGTTAATATAATAGTAAACAATAGTTAAATAAATGCATTATGTTTAACTATTGTGAAAACTATATTATTTGTTTTTCCCCATTCCTTAATTTTATCAAAAATATAAATTGAAAACAATTTCAATTTATATTTTTGATAAAATTAAGGAATGGGGAAAAACAAATAATATAGAATGCTTAAGAGGATTCCGACAGTCACTACAAATTTATTTTTACTATCTTTTATGTTGAGTAATGGATAATATTGCTCAATATAAGAATTAACTTAATGAAGTAGTGTGTCCAGTAAGGAAGTAAATATGTTATAATTGAATCATTCAGGAAAAATAAATTCAACAAAAAGAATAAATGCTCTACTCACAATTGCTCAGACTGAGTAGAAATATAGTTCAAAACCTCTTATAGAATCTTTCTTAAGTAAATTTCCAGTATATTATCACCTTTAGAATGACTAATTTTTTCAATCTTTCATCTGGATCTTCATCAGGTCAACTGTTCTAGAATCAGAACGTTTCAAACATCAACTCTACTAAAACTTGATACACTATAGTAATAAAGTCAACCACTGCCACATGCCATTGTGCTATATAATGTCTATATTAATAATAAATTACCAAACAAATGCCTCCCTCTAGGGTCAAATTGTTAGATAATTTATTAATATAGCTGTTATATAGCCCAATGGCATATGGCAGTGGTTGGCTTTATTGTTTCAATCATTGTCACAAATGTTGTGTTTTATAAATATCTGCTTTTTAAATGTCCTGTTTATCAAATGTGTCTCCAGGTTTAAATTCATTGCGTGATGTCATTATCATAAAGTGCAATACAAAATATTACAAGTAATTTAAACTGATCCTGTTTCAAATTTTATTTTAATATTATAAATGCATTGGATTGTGATTTTAAAGTAATATCTGCTATGCATAGGACAATTCTTTTTCTTCTTTAAAATGAATACTTCTCCCTTGTTTTTCAGCCTTATATATTTCTAATGATTCCAAAGCCCTAATGTTTTCTAATTTGGCTCTCCTAATGATAGTGGTATTCTGTAGATCAGCCTGGTACAGATTCTTGAATTAACAGTTGTAGATCTAAGAAGTGGGTCTGTGTATTGTTGGATTTGTCCAGTTTGAGACTGAAGCCAAAAGGGTTGTTATTCATGGTATCCACAATGCTTCTATATTCAGTTTACTTTTCCAGATGATTAAAATGTCATCCACATACCTTTTGTAAATGTGGATGTGAGAAGGAATAGTGGTAATACTTTTAGCTCTAACATACGTACCACCATTTCACAGAGACCCCTTGATATCGAGCTGCTTATTAGCACTCCTCTCTTTTGTATGTATGTGATGTTACTATATTGAAAGGAAGAGCAATAACAGATCATGTGCGCTAGATTCAAGATATACTGGTGGTATGTAGGTCTTGTAGTAATTTGAAACAGTCAATCTCAGTGTGCAAAAGTATAGTTGTAGTTTGATAGATGGATAAAGGGATATGAAATCCAGAACTATTATGTAATAAAATAAATATGTATTTACCAAAAAAACCAGCAATAATTCACTTCCAAATGAACGTTTTCTACCATTTTCAACGGTCATCATCAGGTTCGATCCAAGAGTTCGAAAATAGAACTGTTATGTAAGCCTTTTTTTATGTATTATGATCTGTCTACACACTTAGTTGAAAACTTGTTACATAATCAGCTTAAAGAACATCTACGAGATTACAAATTTACAATATCTAATTTGAGAGAGTTTGTTGAAGAAATGAAACAGATCCTTATCCAAAGATTGGCCAAAGCATACAGCAAAGTAACAATGAAAGGAGTAATGCAGAAGAGGAAAGTGATAACAGAAATAAGAACCACAATAATAACACTTCCCATACAGCAGTGGAATATAATCATAATATAAAGAACATGTTAGAGAGATAGTGGAATATAAGAATGTCAAAATAGCATAACTACAAACTACATACAACTTACTATTCAACAGCAAGGATGTGCCCAATCAACTCTGTTTACCAGGAGTATATTGCATTCCAGTAATGAACCAGAGTCCCCTGGAAATTGGAATACATTGGTTCCACCACACACACTACAAAAAAGATTAGCTGAACATAATTATGATATCAACCACAACAAACACACCACCACCTTGGCCTTCTATGCTGCAGACAATGACATAGATTAGGAGATCCAAACAATTAGATAACATTAGGGCTTAGGAATTGCTAGAAATAATTAAGGCCAAAAAACAAGGGAGAAGTAATTTCAAAGAAGAAAAAACGATTGTCCTATGCATGGCAGGTATTACTTTAAAATCACAATCTGATGCATTTATAACATTAAAATAAAATTTGAAGTGATATAAAATATTACAAGCTGTTTAAACTGATATCACTCTTTATGATAATGACACCACACAATGAATTTAAACCTGGACTCTCATTTGATAAATGGGACATTTAAAAAGCAGATATTTACAAAACACAACATTGCAACAATGTTCAAAATATTAATCATTCTAAAGGTGATAATGTACTGGAGATTTATTTAAGAAGTTCTATAAGAGGTTTTGAAGAATAAATGATTATAGTTAGTCAGTTATTAACATATTATAATTTAAAATATATTCTATTCAAGGATACAGAATGTTTTATATAATTTGTTAATTTTCATAAATGCTGATCTTTTTTCATTTATACTAAATATTATAAATAAATTTAATGTTTTATCTATAAAAATTTATATTAACATAGGAGAGCGATAATTACAATAAGATAAGTTCATGCAGTGGTATGAAGCTTCTATTCTAATGAAAGAAAATTATTAATTATTATTCATAATAATAATAAATAATCTGCAGCTTATAAAGAATATTACCTGTTTATCTAGTGCCTCTTCATCAATTTGGGAGTCACAAACTGTTGTTGGCACAGGAACAATTCCAAGTTCTATGCATTTTTTGAAATGGGCTTTAGATTTCATGTGTTTGGTTAGATTCCCTTTTGTCTTGAATGCAAAAGCACAATGGTAACATTTATATGGTCTGAGATTTGTGTGAGTTCGAATGTGTTTCTTTAAAACACTTGGCTTCTTGCAACGAATTCCACATTCTTCACATATATATTTTCCCCAACCTCTACCTCTAACATAAGTTCCATCATCAGTAGAATTTGAATTTCCTTCAGAATGACGAACTCTCTTTGATGGATGAGATTGAATCATTTCATCCGGTGAATGAATATTAGAATGAGAGGTATTTTCCTCTATGTTTTCTTCAGAATGGTTATGCTCCTATAAATTAAATTATTTTAAAAATTTTTTATTTATTTTAATTGTTTTTCTGTGGAATTAACTCACCTTTTCTTTTATTTTTGGAGATTTTTGAAATTCTTCCTTTGCTAAGTCTTGCATACGAAATGTCCAATAACTCGAATGAGTACATACAAATGTGTTTCCCATTTTAGCAACTGAAATAGTCATCCTGCCATTTTCTTTACTCTGACGAGAGTTATATAAACCTATCAACTGGCTAGGTGTCATTCCAAACAACTCCTCTTTAGCTGGCAATACTTGCCAATTAGAGTACATAGACAATTTTGGATCAGTATCCTGTGGTACATACATTGGTTGAGAACGATATATACAACAANTTTTGCGACGAATTAGCATAGATCTATATAAAAGGCATAATTGGACTTAGGATGATCTTTGATATTTATTTATTTATTTTTATTATTATTTATTAAATACACGGAAATTTGTATACATCATTTTCGTTTATAGCACGTTACATTTTAATTTTTTACATAACCGTTTATTTGAAATTCGATTGCGTAATTTTTCGAATTCCCGTTTCGAATTAGAGAAATAACTAATGATGAATGCTTAATGCGTTTGAAAACGTTTTTATGTTATTAAAGAATTATGCTGGATAGTTGAATGGTTTTTATTTTTAAGTTTTATTAACTTTTGTTTAAAATACTAGAGTTTATTATATAAGCTTTGTTCAAATTCAGAAAATAAAACAAAGACTGACATTACTCTATCATAAATACTTATCTGTATTTTATTTCACTTTCAATGTGAGGAATAATGGCATGAAAATGTTTGCATTTAATTTGTTCTTTATAGAATATAAAATTCCATTATATAGATATCCACAATAGAAATTAACATTTATAGTTACATATTAAAATCATTTTTCAATATAAAAATATTGATAAAAAATAACACAAATTCACCCACAAGTAAAACTAAATGTGTGATCTTTAAAATATTTTAAATTGATTTTATATACAATTTCCTCAAAAGTTTCCTTTTCAGTTCTGCATATAAATGACTCATTTCCCTCAATTTATTTCATTTTTATCTAAAACCTGAGTTTATACATGCCTTTTTACAATAACATGTAATACATATTAAGTATAAAATCTTTAAAATCTCTTCTATGATATATTATTACAATATATTACCACTAATATAATTTTTAAAATACAATTGATATTGTGCAATTTCTAGGAAATAATATGCATAATTTAAAACTTTGTAAATTTAAACTCTTTATATTTGTTCAAACATTTATTAAAAATAAGTTTAATTTTAAGAAACATTGGAATATAAAAAAATTTTATATTCTTGATATAATTTTTAATATTACTGTATTTCTACAATATGATCATATAAACATAAATTAAAAAATTACTGCAATTTTCAGCTATTATATTAATTGTAGATATATTTTATCAAATTAGTATTATCATCATTTTTTTCCTCATCTGACTTTTCTTCACAGGATAAAAACAAAAATTTTAACAAGATCAATGCTTTTCCTATGATTTAGTAATCATAGGAAAATTATAAAAATTTCTGTTTAATCTACTTTATATCAATTAAATTAAATGATATAAACAAAAATAAATGTTATTTTATAGTATCACTAAATAGTAATTATAGTAAATTTATAAAATAAATAACTTGCATAAGTTAAATATAGTACATTGCATAATAAATATAAAATTATTAGATACATTAATTTTATATTTATTATGCGAGACATTATAGCTATCTAATTTATAATAATTATAAAATAATAGGAAATAAAATTACTCATTTTTCTTTTCTACAAACAAAATTTCAAGATTTAGATTAAATTTATCTAAGTCATTGCAATAACCACTTCATTGACAGAAGCAAGCCCTTATAAATAAATTCTATATTAAATAAGTACCCTACATAGAAGATTACCAATGAATCATCTAAAATAAAAAATATTCATAGTAAATATCTGTGAAATTTTTTAAATACTCTTATTTTTTGAAAATTAATTTTATATTTTTTAAAACAATTTTAAAATGTATTAAGATAACAGAAATATAATTCTTTGAAGGAATATTTTTCTAAGAAAAACATTTGTAAAATTTTCTAAGAAATAAATATTTTCTAAGAAAAATACTTAGTATTTGTTTGAAACATAATTTATTCATCATGTTTATATGAGAAATTTATTATTCAGACTTAAAATATTTAGGTAATGAGCCTATTTTGATACCAGTCCAAATAATTCTTTTATATTTTAAGGCATACTATTTTGATCAAATCTGAAAAAATATCATTTTATTATAAATGAAATTTATTTTTCTTGATAAATTTCAATTACAAAAAATATAGTTTCAAATTTAAGCCAAATTTTGTACTTACTGTAACTGACAAGTCATTATGCTTATTTTAAAATAATACAAATACACATTTCAAATTTTATGAATATTCTATATTCATTCATACAGAAGATAAGAAAATGAATTTAAAAAAAATTATAACTTAAACAATTTATGAAAAGCTGGAGATAGTTATTTATTTGATTATACAAAAAGCATTTAATGAATAAAGAGAAGAATATGTTGGAAAAGTATTGGAAAAGCTGGAATATTAGAATCACTTTTACTAGGTGAAGTTAATGGCGTATAATCTACTTTCCTAATTAAAGCTCACAATAAAATGACATGCTTAATCTGATGTAACTAGCTATAATCCATTGAAGTTTTGTAACCATATGGAGGAGTCAATCTTACAAATTATGTTGGAAGCAGAGAAATTGCTTATAAATGGAAATCAAAACCCACATTTTCCAAGTATAATTGAACAGTACTGTCCCCATCTCTTTTTAGAAATATAAAAATGGTTAAGTGAAAATTCTTTAAACTTTATTTAAAATTCTGTCATAGTTTAAATAAATCTTTTTCCTGAATTTAAATTTTATGCTATATATTTATAACTTGTATTTAGTAAAAGCTAATTAAAATTTTTTTATCTACATAATTACCTTTAAATATTTACAAAATTCAATATTAAATTACCCAAATTAGCATAAATTAAAATTCAAATTATATTAATTATTATTAATCATTCGACATTCTTAACAACTATTTACCAGATAATATATAAAATATACAATTTAGTTATAGTTAATTATAACTCAAAATGAAATTATTTAAAGTTATTGAATATATTTGCAACAAATTAAAGTATGTATTTTACTTGTAATCGAGAGAAAAAGTCAATGGCTTTTTCATATGTTTCAACAAAATTAATTATATTCAGCTTACAGATCACAGTGCACCCATCACAACACACCTTTTGTGACCTCTACTAGTTTGGAGAAACTGGTTTGGTAACTGACCTTGTAAAAAACTGGCTGCCCACAAACAACTAGACAAGAAAATGTTGACACTAACATCTTATGACAAATACTTGCAAAATTTCTTTAAAACATCTTTCCTGATTGAAAAATTATATTTATTTACTTATAATATGAAACTTATAATTTTGATTTCATAGTAGAAATTATTTTAAAGCATTAATTATAACAAAAGAATGTGATTTTTTTTCCTCCCTTCTTGACAAGTAAGATAATGCATGCTCACAGAAACTATAAAATATTTGATTAAAAATATATATAATTTAGTATTCACCTTCATTGAGGGATTACTACTATCATCTAATTGGATTTGCTCTCTGGGAAAATACAAGCCAATCTCGACATTTGATGAATAGGTTACTGATATTTCGATTGATACAGAGTTTTCTGATAATGATGCATCTTCCATAACAACATCCTTATCACAGACCTAATTAAATAAAAAATTTAAGTAATTTATTTTCATTATTCTGAAATGTAAACCGTCCAATTAAAAAAATAACAATATGAAAAAAGTCACTATTTTATTATTATATGAATTCTTTATTTTACATCTTAATAAAAACTCTAATGTATTAAAACCAATGCTAAATATTTTATTTAACTTGATGAAATAAAAGTTGTGTATGTTAGTTTTCTATCTCATGACGATTTAAATTTTTTATTTATTTTAATTGTTTTTCTGTGGAATTAACTCACCTTTTCTTTTATTTTTGGAGATTTTTGAAATTCTTCCTTTGCTAAGTCTTGCATACGAAATGTCCAATAACTCGAATGAGTACATACAAATGTGTTTCCCATTTTAGCAACTGAAATAGTCATCCTGCCATTTTCTTTACTCTGACGAGAGTTATATAAACCTATCAACTGGCTAGGTGTCATTCCAAACAACTCCTCTTTAGCTGGCAATACTTGCCAATTAGAGTACATAGACAATTTTGGATCAGTATCCTGTGGTACATACATTGGTTGAGAACGATATATACAACAAAAAGTTGATCTTGTGGAACACTTCAAACCTAAACTTGTATATGCATGTCCACCAAGATAAAGTTGAATACTTGTCTTTTTTGGCCGAGGTGTTTCCGGACTAATTAAAGTTGAACCAACTAATGTGATACCCTTTTTTAAGGGTAAAAATGTTGGTCTACTCGGATTTGCACATTTTTTCTTAACATCATCTGATAACGAATCACTTTTACTAGGTGAAGACCTGTTTGCATTAACATTATCAGCAGTTACATTTGTTTCTTTAATACCTGTTCCCTCGCTAACTGCATCAGTACTATCTGACACACACAAGAGAGGTAGGGATGTTGTAGTTATTGTGTCAGTTTTAATTGTTGATATTGATGTCAGAGTACATGATGTACTTTCATTTTCCATTTGCATAATTTTTTTGTTAATTTTTTCTTGTTTATCACCATTATTGAAATCAGACTGTTGTGATAATGATGGACTAATGCTGCCAACTGAAGACATTTCTGCATATTCAGATGCTGGAGACAAACTTGAAGATTCAACTAATAAACTAGTTGACATAGAGTGATGAGGAGACATTGAAACTAATTTTTCTTCTTCATTTTCTGTGGTAGCACTCTTTGACATAGGTGACAGTTCCATTTTATCATCACCTGAATGAAAATGACGTTTCCATTTATTTAAATCATTCATACCTGTTGCCATAAGTGGCGCTTGAGACGATGTTTGTACACAGAGTGATGATCCAACAACTGCAGTGGAAGTGTGTACTTGCATGACTGTGCCACCTGAATTTAACTCAGGTTTAGAAATTGTAACAACAACTGTTGGAAGTGACATTTTCTTAAATTTCTGCACTTTTTCTGGTTCCGATGACCAGGGCTCATTTTCAATAATTGATTGTGATGAACGACTTTTACGATCAAGTAATGTAAACAAAGCACTCTTATGAAGATTTGATTTTAATGTAGCATTTTTGCTTCCTATCTCATCAAATATTTGCACTTTTCCTCCTGACATTTGAGAATTCCAATTACCAGGAGACACTGAAGGTATACAATGAGGACTTAATGTTTTATCACTTTTAGAATATTCTACTGTTTTTCTTCGATTCACTGGAGTCTCTAAGTGGCTTTTTGACAATATTGGTTCTGATAATTTCCTCTGTTTCAATGGAGGAATCCATCCGTCATTGTCAACAATGAAATTCTTAATTTCTCCAGTTTCCTGTAAAGTCAATTTATCTGGAATAACTTCTTCTGGTGAATCACATGTATGTATCTTTTCCATTAAAGACATATCTTTTAAAAGTCCCAACTGTGTTTCAAATTGAGTTCTATGTTTACAATAATGTAACTGATGAGCCTCTAAATTACCTTTACTATGGAAACCAATATTACAATATTTACATAAGTATACTGTGGAGTGAGCATCATTTGATTTTTGTTTAGTTACTATTTCTGTATTAGTTTGATGAAGCAGTATTTCTTCAGATGTAGTATGATGTACTGTTTGTTTTGGCTTCAATAAAAGATCTTTAATTATACTGCCTTCTGATTTGGATTGTTTTTCTAATTTTGATATAAACTCACTGGAAAGTTTATCTGAAGAAAGAGATGTGTAATGAGTTTTGCTAAGTGGTTTTAAAAAATTCCTTTCTTTTTCTTCTGATAAAGAAAATTTTAATTTTTCATTTTCTAAAATTGTATAGATGCCATTCAAATAACTTGCAGATTTTTTATGATCTGTAAAAATATCTGAATTTTTTAAGAAAAATGGTGAATCGGAATGCCCTAGAAGAGCATTATGAAGTTTAGATTTATTACTCTGATAAGGAGAATTATTAAAAGTAGAGGATAAATCTTCACTGTATCGACGAATTTTGGATGCTGTATGAGATTTTCTATATTCTTTCTCATTAAAATTTTCCGAAAAGCTCAAATGACGAACATGTTGTCTCGGACGAATGGGATTTGTTGTTTCTACAATAGCTGCATTTTGTGCAATTATTTTTGAAATGTGTTGCACAACAGAATGCGGTTTTGATACTTTTTGAGATGGTGATGATTTTAAATTATTCTGAGGAACTGTAATACTTAAGGCAGATGAAAAATCAACAACAGAACTTCTGGGGCTTTCTGATAAATCATCTTGCTTATTTGAAATAATATAATCATCTTCATTTATTACTTGTGAGATGTCATTAATTTTTTCAGATAATTTTGCTGTTTTCTCATTTGATTTATCATCATTCATTAACTGTGATAAATTTTTTATTTGTGAATTTTCTTGGGTGTTAGGCAATAAATTAACACTACCTCCTGTGAGGTGTACAATCTGTTGTTCAATTTCAGAAACAAATTCATTGTCCATATTTTTCTTATTTAAATTTAAACCAGTTAATACTGATTCAATATTAGAAGACTGAGTACCATAAACTGAACTCGGCATAGAAATATTAATTTCACTTTCTCTTGGTAAATCCACACCTGGAAGACATTTGCTCAATGGCAGTGATGTGTTGAGCTTAAATTTTTGTTTTTGACAACCTACATCTGATCCAGTTTTTGATTTATTTGAAGCGATAGTTGGAATTTGATGAGTAACTACTGTGGAAGACGGTTCAGATAAACCAGAAGATGTTGCTATATTATCAGTATCTGAAGTCAATGGAAAGGCACTTCGAGCAGAAAAATCAATATGATCTTGTGAAGTAAAACTGTATGTTCGTTTCTTGAGCAGCACATTATTTTCATTTGTATTATTCTTTCGTCTGTCTGTTTCCTCGCACAGAAGAGAGTCTGGCATAGGATTTTCTGAAATCAATTGCTTTTTCTTTCTGTCCACCAAGGTTGGCTCACTAATTGCTTTAGTCACATTTATTCCTCTGTCCTTTAAAGAATAAGTTGGCAAAGATATTTTTCGATTATTCAAAGTAGGAACAATATCCAAATTTGTTCCTCTAGACCTCGATCTGTCATGTTCGGACTGCTGTTCATAACTGGTTTCCACAGTGTCTTTAACAGTGCTAAAAGATCCCTCATTAAGAGAAGACTGGAGACTTGCACTGACAGTCTTGTTTGGCATTACCTTTGTCATAAGTTGCCTTCTTCAGTTGCTATATGTCATATGGAAAACTTCGAGCAATCCTGCATTCTTTTCATCGTCATCTGTTACAGCCATCACACTAAAAAAAAAAACAGAAAAACTATTCTAGTATTAAAATTTTCTCATAAAAATATTTAATTAATTAATTAAAACAAAAAAAATTAATTAATTTATATACAATTTTCACATTTAATTATTTGACTTTATCATCATAAATATTTAATCGAAAAAAATTCACTTTTATTATTAGTATTTGATACATAAAAATACCATAAACAAATCAATATCAGTGTAAGCTTGTGTGTTTCTCCGTTTTTTAACGAAAAAATATCTAAAAATGTATCGAATTAATTGCGAGATGGAGATAGTTATATCGTTAATAAACAAAAACTTCGGACGTATGAACATGATGTATTTTGATAAAGGAATTGGATGATAATGATGTCGTCATTGTCCTTCTTGCAGAGTTGCAGTATCGCTATGACAACGGGTCTATCACATTCGGAGAAAGGGGTAAGTGTAGGAAGAATTCCAAACCGTGCCTTTAACTTTCAACAGTGATAGTCAGGAAATGAAATTGGATTCTTTGATCACACGAAAACATCGTTTATTTTATCGTACGAGTGAATAGAATTATAACGAACTCCGGTTTAAAAAAATAATTACACTTCTATTATGTAACTGAAAGCTAATTATCGTCATTCAATGATACTACTATTAATCAATTCACAGATTTATCTTTTAAAAAAACTCTAATTGTGTTTATTTTTTCTTTTAATATTTTTATTTTTATTTTCTAGTTGCTGATTTCTTTCGAAGTCGAAGATATACAGCGCTGTCCGAATATATTCCAGATTAAAAACAAGTACGGTAGAAGTCATTGAACGAATGAAAAGCCTCTAAGTTATAACCTGAACTGCACAGCAGTGGAGTGTGACGATGGGGAAGAAAATGATGGACACTGAGACGTGCAGGTTGCATTGAAATGGTATCATGCGAGAGCAAAACCTTGTTTGACGCCATTCCCATGGTCGCTCAATCGAACTTAAAAGGCAAGTCCGATGTTCTTAAAATGGTTCTAACATTAGAAACCACTTTGATAGTCTTATAGCTCACAAGTAGTTGCGGTTTTTCCATTAAGGATCACTTTCCCCTGCTAATCATTCGCCGGTATCACGCAGTATAATCAGGGTAATGCATATTGCTGGAAACTAATAATAAACTCATATTAAAGAGCCAAAATAATCACACTAGTTTTACTATCACAAAACACTTTTACTACGCTAACTATAAATAAATTTGGCCAACACGAAACGCACACAATGTTTCAATTTTGTTTTTTTTAAATAAAGTTTTATTTTTGATGTTTACTAGTTAAAAATGGCACTTAAATACCGGGATAATTTTAAACATTATTCAGATTTATTTATAGTTTTCTAAGTAAGGATGGTAAAGGGGGAAATGAAAGGATTTCCCATAAGCGATTGATAAGCTACAGATGACGTATGCTTCTCAGAAACGTGCCTTCGATGCGTTTCAGAATAAACACGATCTCATTAATTTAAACCATACACAAATCCTGCAGAGTAAACATTTTACATAGTTTTAATTTTTATAAACTCGTCAGCGTTTTTTTCCCCTTCCTCGAGTCTTGTTAAGTTAATGTAACATCAATATTTAATACATTAACGCACGATTTATAGCATCGGATAACAATTTAAATTACGAATAAGTAAGAATAATTAATTAATTCTTTATGTAGCGACCTTGGCATATAACTCAAAATAATAATTAAGCAGAAAAATAGCTTTTCCGATATGGTAATGTATCAACACGCAATTATATAATTTATTATGTGATATATTTTATAACGGTGAAGCTTAATCACTTTAGTATCGCCTGCTCTTGCGAATTACACATTCGAGAAGAAAAAAAAAACAGCAAAACCAAAAAGGATTTTTCTCGGATCGATGGGCAAACTAACGTATTAAGGCGTCTGCACGACTTAGAAGCATTACAAGTATCATTCTCTGTAGGCAATACCTTGATATTACCTTACAATATATTCTCTACTCGGACACCACCTGCCAGAGTTGCAGCTGTCATTGTTCTTGTTCCACTGGACAACAGGTTTGCAGTTCAGGCGAGTCCACTTCAAGAAATTAGGAGAGTACGCATTAAAATTCTACCATTATCGAAAGTTTCTTCACCTCTCACTTTCTCATATCGACCTAAATTTTATCAAATTTTACGCTAGAAAATGTGTCACTCGAAAAAAATATATACATTAACGATATAAAATTCATTATTCGCAAATTTAATGAAACAGAATAATGTATTTTTTTTTAATTTGACTTTCTCGCATCTTAATAAACCAGTCTGGTTTAAAATGAAGGTTTATTACGGATTTTTACGCACTGATAAGTTTAGTACATTCTATCTCCGGGCGACATAAAGTTATCTAACGCAACACTTGCTTAGATCTGCAACATTTTTAACATCTAGGAAACCCTCGATAATTCTCAGAAGACAACAGGAAAACTTCAGTTTTCTCGATAACCTGCAGTGACAACCTACTTATCCGGCTTTCATGCAATCATCGAACAACAATAAATCCATCTGTGATAGGATATTCTTGTTATCTATGGCAATATATTAATTTTTTTAACCGCGTGTTCTTTCATATTTTGGTCCATATCTAAGATTACATGTGAGGCTAATGTGTTTTGTGATTAATACTCGAGTAATTTATCTGATGGCGACGGTACGAAAAGTTATTTCGACACTCGAACTGCATTGGTGCAATAACGGTCATCGAGATTGCTAAAAAAAAAATACGTATTGCGTAATATAAACATTGATAACCAACGGCAGAGTTTGTATTGTCCTAAATTATCAAACTTTTATTTCTGAATAGAGAGGGTATTTCAAGTAAATTTGTAATCCTAAAAAGCTTAGATATTTTCCTGTTGGGGGAATGTTATTTTGTTTTTATGTAGCAGGTGCATTGGTTTTAAACATCTAAAATCTGGGGGTGTAAATAGAAGAACAGGTGATTTTATACGAGTTTCAAGGCAATCGTAGATAAATGTTAGCAGGCTGGCTATTACTTGGCAGCTGCACGAAAGACGGCTTGGAAGTGACACTTTTGGAAACCTTATGACGTCATATTTCGCGTTATTATTGTTGGGAAACATCACGGATGTTAATTAAAATATTGCAAAAGGGCGCTATTTGGGATAATCAAAATAAATAGTTCTTATAATTAAAGCTTAAAATATATATATCTACATGAATCCAGTGATATGTTTGTGTACAGTTTGCAGTTTTATGTTTAAACAAACTCGAAAAGTGAAGAGTGCGATATGACTTAGCGAACCTCGAACTCGGTTCAAAGAGTAGGCATGATAACGATAAACTCAGAGCACACAAACAGCTGACGCCAATATTCATACCCCACCAAGACGATGAATCATACACCTTTCTGGTCGCAAGGTTTTAAAATTCTTCGAAGTGGACACATTCCTATGTCGTGTCACAGAACCTAATAACCTCTTTGGATTAAAGAATTTTACGTGTATTAAGTAGGGCAGCTGTTACCATTTTTATAGGAAAAAAGCAATAATAATAATAATTATTATTATTATTAAACGGGAGAATCAATTTATGAATAAAAATTCGCCTTTGCGCACGAACATAAAAGGAACTCCTCTTAAAGATAAGCGGAGTTAATAACTTAATTCGACGGTTATTGTACAGTTATAAAGTTATTCTCCTCGCTCCTGACATAGGCTACAATCGAAATTTTACCCTTTCCCCAAAGGCGCCAGTAAACCTACATTCTCGGCTTAGCAACACCTACCCTCGGCGTGTCTAGGACATTTCGCTAAGCTTAGACAATGAATGGCCTTCTGAAGTGGTTTCACCAACAAGTTTTTCAATCCTACATTGGTCTTTGCACGGTCATCAAACAGGCATCGGTGTCAACATACCCGGGTTCAACCCTTACTTCATACGGAAACTATTGAATAACACCATTAACGTAACTATTAAAAGTATCCGACTTCTTATCGAACGACAACAAACAACAACAGAAACAACAATAACGTACTCGAACCCCCTTGCTTTAATCCGTAATCGTAAACTCGTATGTTTACGGCGCGCAAATCCCGCCAAGGCGTTCGTTAACGGCAAAATCGAAAATCGATAAACACATCGAGATGCTAAAGATGCTAAAATAAAAATGTGTATTTTAAAAATCCGCCAAGATGCAAGATATAACCATGTAAGGACGAAAACACAGAAGCCGTGTAGGTAGACAAGACAAGTGTACGTGTAGCGTGAAGTATGTACGGGGAACCCCTACACGGGAGGGTGTTTCCCAACGTTGGCTGACTCACATTCCAACGCATCCCACAGATCCGCTGCAAGCAATCGAAGCCGCCACAAAGCTGAAAAATTTAATAAAATACGATACTCACTCGGGTCATCCTCCATTCCTATCGAAAAAAATAGCGAGTGGACGGGGGTAGAAGCGCTCTCACCCGCCCGCTAACACGTAATCAACAGAAGGGATTTCCCGTACAATTTATAAACACACTAGAACACTACGTACAGTACATAATATACAATAAGTACAAACTAGAAAGTACGCTAGCTTTCCGTCTTACCTCAAATCCATGCTGGTTTACGACCGTTGAATTTCTTCGAACTGCCAAGCACACCCTTGAGTGATGACGTCACTGGGCGAAGGATAACCCCTGAGGTTGAAGGAAGATGTGCGAATAGGATATCCCGTCCGCCATGTTGTGGCAGGGCACGTGGGGCTGGATAGCCTTGCATGCCACTGCTACAGACTTTTTGTCCCGTCTGGATGAGATACGCCGTTTCGGGAACGCAATGCCTCATTACTTATGTCCGCCTAGCATTTGTCGACGATAAACTTCCGGTTAACGGCGAAACGGGGGGTCGAGGGCTGCGAAAAAAGCGCGGGAAACGAGTAAATATAGATTTTTAACCCGGACTACGTTGCGATGCGTAGTAAGCTGACATACCAAGTGCGGTGAGGTGGCAGCTGTGACTGGCGTCGCTTTGTCGACGGCTGATAGTGTTGACGTTGGGAAGTTCTGATTGCTCTATTTTTCCTCTTCCTCCCACTTGTTCGGTTTGTAAATGTTATTTGAGAAGGGTGCCGCTTCTCAATGAAGTACGCCGAAAACAACTATGCAAAGCCGCCATTCTTCCATTCACGCTGAAGAATGTGAATGAAGAATTCCTCCATTCATTCCTAACTTTTTTTTTACTTTTATATTATTAATAACTTTTGAAATGTGTAAACAATCATTTTTCTACGGTTTTTTTTTACATTCGAGAACCTCCGTTCGAGAGAATTACAGCAGTTTTCTTTCTAATATCGAACGTTCTAAACTTCGGCGTGTAGACTTTTCTGACTTAACCTATTAAAGCGAAAACATTTTTATCGCGGCTGACCTTAAGCTTATTTTTAGTACACTATGTTCCCACCAGATGGCAGTAATCGGGTAAAGTGTTCAATGTGTTCCTATTTAAAGAACTTTTTTCGTGCGCATGTGGCGACTGAAAGTCGGAAAAGCTCTTTTGAAAAACATCGAGCTAAAATAAAAGGAAGTTCATAAGGCGAGAGAAAAAAAAGTTTCTCTTGATTAAAATAATAATAAAATTCCACTAAAAATAACTGGAAAAAAAACGAAAACGAAAACGGCAGGAGGAAAGTTAATCGAGATTGTGTTTGTTATTATACGAGATTACAGAATCATCTTTCCCTTTTTAATTACTTTTGTGTGTTTGTTTTTTTATACACCCCCGTCTCAAATCAAAATAAACGTTAATACCCGCGACCCCAACGTTCTCACAACCTTGGCTGTGGCCTTGAAGTAGTCATCCTGCCAACATTTAGCGCCATCTATAGCGTAAAAAAATAATTAAAAAATTTATACAGTGGCGCCTCCGATGACAGCTTTTCAAATTAAAATTTCATAAGTTGCCAGTTTAATTAATGTTTTTCTGTCAAAAGTCGATTTTTAAAAATAAATTTAGATACATTTAATTTTATTTTATAATAAAAAAACGCCGAAATTTATTTGTAATTTAGTAACGTGTACGTACACTAAAAATATAATTATTAAATAAAAAAAAGTACAGTATTTATTTTCAAAAAAAGGTAATAATCTTATTCGCTATTAAAAAAAAACTAGAAAAAAAAATTATTTTTGACAAAGTAGTGAAACAAATTGTCCCCCCTCAACAGAATGAAAACTGTGTAATCCGAGAAGGCACTAAAAAGAGCGATAAAAGGGGAGTAGGTGGATATAAATTCTGTTTATCTCATTGTGTGTTATTTAACCGCACAGTAACAGTAAGAAAAACTCTTCCTTTATGTCCGATACATACCTATAAATATCGTAACTGAAAATATTGTAGAAAAAAGTAGAATATATACAAGTCCGTTCTGGTTTATATAAAAATGGCATCCCAAGTCCCAGTTCGAATGATATAAAAAGTGATTCAACGGAAATTAAAATGTCAAAATAGGAAAAGAATCATTTTAAAAAAATAAAAAAATGGAAGAAGTAAAAGATTACTTCTATATACAGTATATATATATAGGTTTTTTTATGGTTTTAAAAGATCATCAGATGCAATCTACTATAGGCACGAAGCGCTATCGAGCAGCTAGAGATGTTTAGTATAAAAACGAATTTTTTTTTCTTTTCTAGAAGCGGAGAGGTAATAGAAGAAGAAAAAAAAATTGTGCATGAAAAATGGTTAAATATGCCAAGAAGATATCGATCAAGATAATACAGGATAGC